AGATCAATGGTCCACAGTTTGTACTTCTATCTACCGCCGTTGTCCTTGGCATTAGAAGAACCCTTGTCGGCAATCCATTTTGTATTTTATTGCCTTTCTACCTGGTTCTCAAACAGTTTCAAGTACACTGGCACATCTTTTATCCTTAATGATCTGTCCTCCCGAAATTTATTTTTGGAAACAAATGAGTAAACAAAAGAAACCAAACCCAGCCTGATCCCAGTAACTCTGAACCAAACAAACTGGGTCTTCTTTCTCATTTCTTTGCCGCTCGCAGGGCTTTTAAAGGGTCTTATGAGCCATTAGTTTGTTGGCTCCTGTGGAAGTATTTATGCACCACCATTAAGCAGCACAAACTCGGGAGGACGGTCGGGGTTCTTTATGCCTCTGGCCCCTGCCCCTGACTGCCCGTCTCCTGTCCAGAGGGGAAACACAAACAAGACTTCCAGCGGCCAGTTCATCAGAGCCTGGTTTTCAATCCCCAGACAGTCACTTGCCACCCTTACCCTCCTCTTCAGTCAAAACCAGTAGACCAAACACAAAGGCAGAAGATTTTCTTAAGGGAAAATCTAGGTTCTTGAGTAATGAATTAGTCACACCCTAAAAAGTGATTTCTCCACCCAGAAACGGCAAGTTCGCATCTAAATTGTATCCTCTTAGCCATGGTAGAGGAGGAAAGCCTTACAGTGCAATTCTGACCCCAACAGCGGGCGTGGCGTTAAGTGAGGCTAAGACAGTCCTCACTTCAGACACTGCAATCTCAGAAGTCCCCGGGCCACCTGCACTTCCTTTATTTTTCTTTATTTCAATTATATTGCTAATTATCTTTTTAAAAAAAGTATATGATTGACTGATTGATTTTTGGCTGCACCGTGGGGCATTCAGGATCTAGTTCATCGGCCAAGGATCAAACCTGTGCCCCCAGCAGTGGGAGTGTGGAGTCTTAACCGCTGGGCCACTGGAGAAGTCCCTACCTCCGCTTCTGACCATCTGGCTACAGACTCAGGGCCCCTACTGTTCCCCCAGGTTTGATGGTTCACTAGAACGACTCCAAGAGCACAGGAAACTGATGTACCGACTATTATCTTTTTTGTTTTTTTCATAAAGGATACAAATGAGGACCAACCGAAAGACGAGACCCAAGGGTGAGGAGTGGGAGAGCCCGCAGGCGAACTGCCGTGTCCTCAGACGCTGCACACTCCCCAAACATGCACCCCTGATTACCAACCATGAGGGCGGTGAGCTTCAGGGTCCAGAGCTTTTACTGGAGTTTCACTGAAAAGGCATTATGCTTTGAATCATCAGTTACGTGACTTAACTCTCTCTCCAGCCCCTGACCTCCCCAGAGGACCGGCTGATGTGACCTGTCACCTCAACTCCCTAATCACAAGGTCGGTCTTTCTGTGTGGCCAGTCCACATCCTGTATCATCCTTCTGGCACCAACTCAGGTGTGGTCTGAGGGGCCCACCAGGAGCGCCAGACTCGCCTGCCACGAAGCCTTCTCCCAGAAAGCAAGATCAATTAAACTTATTCTTTTTTAGTATTTTATTTATTTTGGCCATGCCGGGTCTTAGTTGCAGCATGTGGCATCTTTTTAGTTGAAGCACATAGGATCTAGTTCCCTGACCAGGGGTCGAACCTGGGCCGCATGAAGTCTTAGCCACCGGACCACCAGGGAAGTCCCCAAACTTATTCTTCTACAACACAATACAACTGATGGGGTCCAAATTAAGAAAGTAGTCTCTCTCCTCTTGAACTGATAAAAATCTGTTGTCACTGGGTCAGTTTTCTGGCGCCTAACGAGAGGGGATTCTTGCTTGCTGGAATCTGATCTACAGGACAGGCTGGGAAGGGTGGGAAAGGAGTCTGGAAGCCAGGGCTTGAGAAAGAGTTGTTGGGAAGCATGAGTGGACAGTGGCGCTGTGGGAGCTGGGGGGATTGGGGCTTTGAGGACTGCTCAGCGTGGCTTTAGAGTGGACTCCCCGTAATATGTTTGGAGAAACATAACGTAGGAATGAAATTCATTTGGATTTCTTTTGACTGTGGACCCGTGCTTTTAAACATCTTCTCCCTGCAAAGATTGAGCTGCAAGGCAGATACCCCTGGGATGTATCATGATTCTACGCATATATAGATCTTCTGATGGGGAACTTTTCCTCTTTCACGTGACAAATCCTCATCTTACAAGTGGGAGCCTGTGCTTTGACCTTCAAATCCAGGCAGGAAGGGTGTGAGCCAGGCCCAGTGGGGACCCAAGGATGAAAAGGCAAGGCCCTGGACCCAGGGACTGGTGGTTTGGTCATGGATGGTATTCGTGCTTTTTCCTGTATGACTCAGTTCCCCCTGGAACTGGAGGGGAGACTGGCTTTGGGGAGGGTTGGAGGTGGTCCAGGTGGAAAAAAGGTGGTGAACGAAGTCACCAAGGGTGGTGCCAAGGCAAGAGGAAAGAGCACCACCTAGGGGTGGGAGGAAGAGGTGCCAGAAGAGTGGCCGTGAAGTGAGGTCAAAGTGAAAGGGCTCAGCCGTGTCCGACTCTTTGTGACCCCATGGACTGTACAGTCCATGGAATCCTCCAGGCCAGAATACTGGAGCGGGTAGCCTATCCCCTCAACAGCAGATTTTCCTGACCCAGGAATCGAACTGGGGTCTCCTGCATTGCAGGTGGATTCTTTACCAGCTGAGCTGTCAGGGAAGCCCAGGTTGGCCAGCATCACCCACCCCAGGAGAACCGAGGTCTCCACGCTCCTCAAGTTCTCATTCTGTGGGTGGCTCAGTCGTGTCCGACCCCTTGCAACCCCACAGACTGACTGCAGCCCGCCAGGCTCCTCTGTCCACGGGATTCTCCAGGCAAGAACACTGGAGTGGGTGGCCATTCCTCTCTCCAGGGGCTCTTCCTAGCAGGAGTGCGTTTCTCAAGAGTCTGTGCCCCTGGTCCCTGGAATCTGCGCAGCTCTCTCCTTTTGGGGAGAAGTGGGTCTATCACCGTCCACACCCCCACGGTTCGGGTAGGAAAGGGGGACTCCTTCACCTAAACTAGACTTTTTTCCTTTAAAAAAAATTATTGCTGTTATTTATATCACTTTTGACAAAGTTTAATTAGCATCAGAGAAGCAATTCATATTTATAAACCAACCGCCTTTCATCTGACACTGTCTGACATTCACCAAAGTCTCTGAGAACTTTAAAGAAGCCACACAGAGCACGGCTTGACTCCACCCTCCTGTCAAAGGCAGGCGTTGGGAGGGGAAGGAGACGGACCCGGGGCTCACTCACCACCCCCACCGACTTCCCACAGCAAACCAATGACGTGGGCATTATATTGCCTCCTCACAGGCACAGAAAAGAGCTTCCCAGAAGCACACTGCCTGGTTTCTCTGTGCAAGGTCGAGTGACCCAGGTCACACTGTCCCAAAACGCCTCCCACACCGACCTATGAGATCTCCAAATGAAGTTCACCTATGTGTTAGAAAGGAGACAGCATTCTTCATCTATCTTTAAAGCAACCCACATCAACATCCTGCATAATTAATCAACGTCTTTTTTTAAAGATTTTTTTTTTTGTTGGATGTGGACCATTTTTAAAGTCTTTATTGAATTTGTTACCACATTGCTTCCGTTTTAGGTTTTGCTTTTTTGGCCAGAGAGGCATGTGGGATCTTAACCAGAGATTGAACTGGCACCCCATGACTCGGAAGGCAAAGTCTTAACCACCGGACCACCAGGGAAATACCTTTTTAAAATAAACCCCCTCATCACCTTGGGAGTTGCACAGTTAGTGTCCTCATCACAAGAAAAACATTTTCCTACTATGTGAGGTGGTGGATGTTAACTAAGTTTATTGTGGTGACCCTTTGCTGCATATTTACACATCAAATTATTAAATTATACACCTGAAACTAATACCGTAAGATATGTTAATTCATGCTCAGTCAGTAAGTCATGACCAACTCGTTGCAACCCCATGGACTGCAGCCCACCAGGCCCCTCAGTCCATGGGATTCTCCAGGCAAGAACGCTGCATCTTCCTGACCCAGGGAGCGAACCCTCATCTCCTGCATTGGCAGGTGGGTTCTTTACCACTGAGCCACCAGGGAAGCCCTGTATGTCAATACGTCTCAGTAAAACTGAGGGGAAAGAACTTAAGTGAGATTCTCTAGGAGTAAACATCGGTCACGGAATCAGAACAAGTGATGACAGTTCTTAGTTCACAGTCTTGACAAAAACAGAACCGCAGGGCGGATCCGGCCAAGGGGTTGGTGTTTGCTGGCCCCTCCTCTGGCAGATGATGAGCCGTCAAGAAAAAGAAAATGGACGTGGTCCTGGCTTCTCCTGCTTCCTGAGACCCCCTCAGTCAGTTCTCTTCATTTCGCCTTTTGTTCTGTCTTGAGTTGGGGACCCCAGAATGGGACCCTGAATCAAAGACTCCAGGGCACGTCATTGATACAGGAAGTGGTCCCCGGACTCCAGGAGTGCAGCGAGGAAATGAGATGGGAAAGAGAAGGCAAGGACTAAAGGGTCTGCCATTGACCCCATTACCAGGGTGACCGGCTGGAGCTGGTCCCATTAGGACCCCTGAAGACAGAAATACCTGGGAGTTACCCTTCCAGCCAGGGGAGTGACTTGGAGTAATCACCCTCCAACCCCACCGGTAACTAGCTGAGCGCTGTTCCTATGAATCCCCAAGACTCCCTGGCAGTTGCCCTGATATGGGCATGTGTGTGGAGTGTGAGGTACCAGGGGATGGAGTGGGACCCTGGTGGCATCCTCCCCTTTAGCATCTTCAGGAGCACACACTTCCTTTGGGAAACAATTCTTTTTGCCCTGTAAGCAGCGGCTCTCAGGTACTGGGCTCACGTAAGGAAATGACACCCTCTCCATTTCCCCCTAATACGTGCGAAAAAAAATGAAACACATCTTGAAATATACTTTGACAAGCTCAAGGCTGTGAGCCCCTGGAGAGCAGGAATGATAGGAGCAGGCTGCTTCGCCCTCTGTTTATTCACAAGGCCTCACGCCTTCGACAGCCGCACCCCCTTCGCCTTCGACAGCGAAAGGGGAAGGGCGCCGAGGTGGCAGTGACGGGTCCAGATCGCACCTTTGTCTCCGTTTCGCGGAAGAGAAACAAAAGAGCTGCAGCCGTGGGCCCAGGGCCACACGATGAGTAACAGCAGCAGCGAGCCGTCGTCCCAGCCCTCGCTGCCCCCAAGGGTTGGCTGCAGGCCCCGCAGCACTGCCTCCTCGGCTCCCCCCACCCCCCGAGCAGGGCTGAGCCCGCATACAGACAGGGCAGACAGACGCGAGACTGGCACTCAGCCGGCCGCCGGGACCGTCTCAGTCCGCCCGGCCCCGGAGTGAAGGGTCTCCCGTGGGCGGGAGCGGACGCCCCAGCCCAGGCCTGCGCGTGGTCTGCCGCCCACACCGGACGCGGAGCGGTCCGGAAGTCGGGATCGGAGACGGGCGCAGGCCGGGAGGGCACTGGTCCACCAGCGGTGGGGCCGTGGGGGCGTCCAGCGTGGGCGCAGGCGGCAGGCGGCGTGTGCCCCGCGGAGAACGCGGAGGTCCCGGTAACACCCGCTGAAAGCGGGTGCGTTTCCACTATCAGGCTGCCGCTACACAGCACCGCGATACACCCCTCTTCCCTGGAAAGCGTCTTCGGTGGGTCGAAGTTCTAAACAGTGGCTGTGGTTACTGTCGGGCGTTTTTTAAATTGAAGTACAATTGTTTGACCGTGTCATGTAAGTTTTGGGCGTACAGCGCAGACTCTCCTCCCTTACAGGTTACTATATAACACTGGTGTACTTCCCTGCGCTGCACAATGTCCTTTTTGGTCACCTATTTTGTGAGTAGGAGCTTGTATCTGCTAGTCCCAAACTCCTAATTCAGCCTTCCTCCACGCCCCCTTTCCTCTTTGGTAAACCGCAAGTCTGCTTTCTGTGCCTGTGAGTCTCTTTCTGTTTTGGAAATAAGTTCATTTGTGTGTTCTTGTTTTCCTTTTTATTTTTTAGACTCCACATATAAGTGATATCATATGGTATTTGTCTTTATCAGACTTATTTCACTTAGAATGATCACTCCTAGGTCCAGCCGTGTAGGTGCAAACGGCATTATTTTCTTCTTTTTTATGGCTGAATAGAATTCCATAGTATGTATGTGTCACATTGTCTTTATCCATTCAGCTGCCGATGGACACTTAGGCTGCTTCCCTGTCTTGGCTGTTGTAAACAGTACTACAGTGAATACTGGGGTGCATGTATCTTTGCAAATTATGGTTTTCTCTGGGCATATGCCCAGGAGTGGGATTGTTGGATCATGTGGTAGTTCTCCTTTTAGTTTTTTAAGAAACCTCCTTACTGCTCTCCATAGTGGCTGCACCAATTTGCATTCCCATCTTGGGTTTTAATAATACACATGTGAGCCTTAGATTAGCACATTTTTATTACTTGAACTTTAATAAATGTTGTATTCTCCGAGGAAGTTAATTTAGTTCTACAGTCTGCCCCCAACACACACAAACCCAGCGACACAACAGGCTCATTTTAAAAGTGGGTTCCTGTGGGGCAAGACAAGGACGCTTATCCTAGGCTCTTCTTCCAACGGGACTAGCCAAGGTAACTAGGCAAAAGGAAAAAGAAATAAAGAAATACAAGGCATCCAGATTGGGGGGGTGGAGTAAAACTACCTCTATTTGCAGATGATATTCTCCTGTACATAGAAAAATCCCAAGGAATTCGCTAAAAAAGAAACAAAAAACCTTAAATAATAAGCTCAGCAACATTGAGATACAAGATCAATATAAAAACCAACTGTAACCCTATGTACTAGCAATAAACAATTTGACAATAGAATTATGAAAACAATTCATTTACAATTACATCAAAAAGGAGTAAAATACCCAAGAATAAATTTAACAAAAAAAGTAAAGACATACACTGAAAACTATAAAAACATCATTGAAATAAATTAAACAAGATCTAAATAAATGGAAAGACACCCCATGTTCACACTCCTTAAACTGATGCATAGATTGAACATAAGTTCTATCAAAGTCTCCTTTTTTGAAGAAATTGACAAGCTGACCCTAAAACTCATGTGGAAATTCAAGGGGCCCAGAATATCAAAGACTATTTCAACATTCTTGAAAATGAAGAACAGAGTAGAAAAACTCACGCCTCCCAGTTTTAAAACTTAGCTCAAAGCTACAATAACCAAGATGTGGTGGTAACTAGCATAAAGTTGGACAGAGAAAATGAAATAAAATTGAGAGTCCCAAAATAAACCCTAATTTATAGTCAATTGATTTTTGACAAAAGGAGCCAAGACAATTAAATGCAGAAAGAATCGTCTTTTTAATTACAGTGTTGGGATGAAAAGCTATTCTGGTACAAGAGAATAAATGTGAACCCCTACCTCATACCATATACAAATATTACATCAAAGTGGAATATAGACCTAAATGTAAGAGCTAAAATTATGACACTGTTAGGAGAAAACAGGAGTAAGTATTTATGACCTTGGGTTAGTCACTGATTTCTTAGATATTTCACCAATATGTTGAACCTTGAAAACAATTTGCAGAGTGAAAGAAGCAAGATACAAAAGCGCACACGATCACAAACTGTAATTTTTTGGAGGGGGCGGGGAGAGTAAGTATAAATTTTGCTTCATATATTAAATATTTGCCCAAATTTGAACACTATCTTTAAAACTAAAATTCATTTCTTATAACTGATAATTGTTTTAAAACCAAAATACAAACAAATGATGATTGTTACTGACTCTTGATATGGGCTTCACTGATAGCTCAGTTGATAAAGAATCAGAGCCTGCAATGCAGGAGACCCCAGTTTGATTCCTGGGTTGGGAAGATCCACTGGCAAAGGAACAGGCTATCCACTCCAGTATTCTTGGGCTTCCCTTGTGGCTTGATACAATTATTACTAAAAATAACTTTGAAATATAGAGGAGAGAGTTAAAAATGATCGGCTCCAGGTGTCAGGTATGCTGGTGTTCCCGGGTGCTGCACATGTCATAAATGGTTGGAAGCGCACACTTTAAAGAAACCCAGAGTAATATGGGTATTTAGGTCCAATGGATCTTAATAGTTATCAATAAGATATTGCTATATTTCAGGTACCTAGTCAAGTACTTCAACATTGTATGGACCATTTCCACATCATAATTTAATCTCTACACCCCCAAATACAAAAGCCAATGCTAAAAGAAACAAATGTGTATATAAGGAATACATAGGTATGTGTGTGTGGTTGTTGATTGTTCTTATTTGGTTTAGTTTTTATATATATTTTTTTCATTTTATCTATTTGTTTGGCTGCACCGAGTCTTCGTTGTGGCATGTGGGATCTAGTTCCCTGACCAGGGATCGAAGCCCAGGCCCTGTGCATTGGGAACATGGAGTCTTAGCCACTGGACCACTAGGGAAGTCCTTGTTTGGTTTGGTTTTGATTTTGCTCTTCCTATAGCAGCTCTTGGGGTGGGTGGCTCAGACAATATGCCAGAGGAAGCCCTTCCTCCTGCACAGGGATTAGGGTGTTTATTTTGTGTGTTTATCTCGTGGCCTCAGTCCTCTGGGCTGAATAGTTTTGTACCCTGTAGATTTTTCCCAACATTTGCTTCTGTCTGATCAACCCTAACTAGTCTGATCCACACAAAGCTGACTAACGTAGTTAGTTCTTGCTCTCACTTCCAATCACTCTTTCCTTTCTTCAGAAAAGCAAAATTTCTTTCATCCTCCTTGGAAAGTTCCCTCCCCTCCTATTTGCTCTCTCACTGCTGCTGTCAGCAGTGGTACCCTTCCTCTGGGTTACACAAAGAGCTCTGCCGTGTCAGTAGGAACATTTCCCATGGACACGATTCTCTGATAAAATCAAAGGTCAGAGAAACTTATCTTCCAAACACTCCACGCACAGTTAAGTTCCAAGCAGATAACAACGCACTTAATTTTACAGAATGTAAACAATTCAAAGGCTTATGCTGAGAGGATAGCATACATACAGGCACAGAAATGTGTATAATTCTTCTAAGTAGTCGTAACGTAACTGTCACACGTTGGTGTCGCCACAGACAAAGTGACAGGTGCTTTTCACATCATTCGGGAACGGATGGCATCCTCCTGGTTGGCTGGAGTAGTCTTGTAAGTGCTGTGCCCAGCTGGACCTTGGGGAAATACACTGCAGAGAGACATGTACGTAGAAACCGTGAGATGCTCCATAAACACCCCGACTACCATAAAACAGTTTCAGAGCCACTGGTGTGTAGACGACTGTGTTTAAAGTGGCCAATTCTATAAGCTACCACATTCATATTTTTAATGAGCCCTGACTTTCCTGCTCAAATGTTATGTGTTGAAAACAGACATAATTCAGAGCCATTTACATTGCTTGGGTGTTTCTAGTTGCTTTCTCCAAACGCAAAGAGAAGGGGGGAAAGCAATTGGCAGGCATGGTGATTGATGAGCAGGGCGAAATATTTTCCATTTTCAAACAGAGGGACCTAAAGCAAACATTGAACCATGGTTAAGTTCTGTGCAGAGAGGAACAGACTCCCAACTTGATGGAGCACCCTTCAGGCCTCAGGTAACCCAGAGCGCTCCAAAGCCTAATCAGTTACACGCTGGTAATACAGCCCCTGAAGACAAACAAAGCATCCATCACATGCTTGATGCAATAGCTCACATGCATTTCTGGCCATTACTGAGATTATTCATTATTTATGTAGAGCCGCCAGCACATACGCCGCACTGTAAAACAGATGTAACGTGCCCATTACCCTAATGCTGATTAACTGAGAAGGAAGCGGTGGTCAGGTTTCAGGGACTGCCGTCCGTCCCCTTGGAGAGAAAAAACGGACAGGACACAGCACCTGCAGTGATGGAATGAGCCCACGCTTTCTCAACACATATGCCTCCTGTGCGAGATGGCGCCTGCACGGTCCACCACGAACCTGCCCTCCCAGGCATGGACCAAAAAGCCCTAAGCTCACTGCAGCGATGGGCCCACCATCATTTTGCACATATCGTGCAGAAATCTCTCTCCGCCAGTACTGTTTTAGAGCGAAATTCAAGGTATATCTTTTCCTCCCATGACATATATAGATGGCTTTCATCATATTTCATAATGCAAGCAATTGGAAACTATTGAACATACATTACCAGCCTACAGGTGGGGAAGTTTTCCTTCTGGATTGAAGCCATGCTTTCTGAAAGAATTAAAAAAAAAACAAATCAAGGGTCATTTAAGGTGCTCAGCATACAAGAAAGTAAATGAACCTTTCAGGGAGTGTGTGTGTGTGTGTGTGTGTGTGTGTGTGTGTGTGTTTTATGAGGGATAATGGATACAACTTATGCCTTTCTGGAATCATCTCTCTACGGGAGATGGCAAAAATCAACCTGAAATTAAGAGGTGTGAGCTTGAAGGGGCAGCGAGAACAATACCAGCATAAAAGTATAAAGTATGTAAAACATAATTAAAAGCCTGGTAGGTTCTGGTTTGCTCCTGATGCTACTGTGGGGGGTTTGAGTACATACAGTGGCAGTGAGGTGTGGCGTCTGGGAAAAAAGCAATATATTAATTCTCAGATCAATAGTTTGTGAAATACCTTTTTGCTGTCCCAAGAGTGTGACAGCTTCCCTGATAAGGAATGATTCTCTGGGAGGTGAAGGCAGGTTTCACCGGAGGAGACTGCTCTCTGGAGGGGAGGGGCGGGGTGTGGGGGGCAACAGCGAAGGAGAGGTCATTAAGAGCTGGGATCACATCCTCCCCCGGGTTCCCGTTCTTAGTCCATTTTGCTCTCAGCACAACACTGCAGTGTCTCAAAGCACAGCGCCGTGACCAGAGCTGGGATCTGGCTCCAGGTAAAGCCCTTCTCTCATTTTTCCCATTTCTGAGGGGTCGGAGAACCCCGAAGCTGCCTCCTGCAGCTGCAGTTTTTCGGGAGGAGCATGGAACTGAAGACGGGGGCCCCTGGCAGACACAGTGAGGCTGCCGCAGGAGGCCGAGGCTGAGAAGGGCCCGGCACACCGCCGGCAGGCCAGCCGGGGAGCAGAGGGATTTCACGGCCCGCTTCTGACCGCGCAGCTCTGACACGGCCCCTGCTGGTCACGTCCTTGCCGGTTCAGGGTGAGCCCCTCGAGAGAGAAGGCTCACACCTCCCCCTGGCAGCCCCCGGGCAGCGGTTAACCAGCCCCGGGCTCCAGAGCTCCGGGGGGGATCAGGCTGGACTCCAGCCGGGACCACCTTCTTCTTCAGCGCAAAGCGGGCGCAGGGGGACGCTCACAGGAGCAGACGCGGGGCCGGGGCGGCCCTGCACCCCTGGGGGCCGCGGCCTGTCCTGGGGAGAGGCTGCAGCCCGGGCTTCCCCAGGCTGGTCGGTGCAACGGATGGTGACTGAGAGGCTGCTGCGGCGCGCGCGCGCACACACACACACTCACACACACTCACACACACTCACACACACTCACTCACACACTCACACACACACACTCACACACACTCACACACACACTCACACACACCCATACACACACACTCATACTCACTCACACACACACACACTCACACACACTCACACCCACACACACACTCACACACACACTCACACACACCCATACACACACACACTCATACTCACACACACACTCACACCCACTCACACACACACTCACACACTCACACACACACACCCACTCACACACACACTCACATACTCACACTCAGACACTCATACACACACACACATACACACACTCATACACACTCACACAGACACACACACACTCACACACACACACACTCACTCACATAGTCACACACACACACTCACAGTCACACAGTCATACACACACACACTCTCTCACACACACACACTCACACACACACAGTCACACTCACACACTCAGTCACACACTCATACACACACACTCACACACACACTCGCACACACTCACACATACACGCGCACACACTCATACATACATACACTCACACACACACATACACACACACACACACACACACGCACACACACACACACTCACACACACTCAGACACTCATACACACACTCACACACACACTCACACACACACACACTCACACACACACATACACACACACACTCATACACTCACACACACACACTCATACACACACACATACACACTCACACACACACACTCATACACACACACACACACATACATGCGCACACACTCATACACTCATACACACTCACACATACACACACACACTCACACGCATACATACACTCACACACACACTCACACACAGACACACACACAGTCACACACTCATACACACACAGACACACACACTCAGACACTCACACACACACGCACGCACACACTCACACACACACACTCACACACACTCACACTCATACACGCGCACACACACACACTCACACTCAGACACACTCACACACACACCCATCCACACACACACACACACTCACACACACATACTCACACACACACTCATACACGCGCGCACACTCATACACACTCACACTCATACACACACACCCATACACACACACTCACACACTCACACACACTCACAGACACACACACACACACACTCACACACACACACACATACACACACAAACACGCAGACACACTCATACACACACACACTCATACACACACATACACACACACAGTCACACACTCATACACGCGCACATACTCACACGCACACACTCACACACGCACACACACACTCACACACACTCACACACACACATACTCACACACCCACTCACACACACACACTCACACACACTCACACACACTCATACACACACACACTCATACACACACACACAGTCACACACACTCATACACACACAGACACACACACTCAGACACTCACACACACACTCACACACACACTCCTGGTCGTGTACAGTCTGTGGGCGAATGTGTTGATTTTTAAGTATTCTTTTCTCTTCATGTATATCCCTATATATTTATAAGTGAAGCTATATGATATTTGGGATGTAATACAAAACAGTCTGGGGCTGGAGAAAAGTATGGTGGAGCAGAGATAAGATCAGTCATGAGTTGATAATTAAAACCATCTTAGGGTTACATGAGACTTCATTATATCATGTTCTCTGTTTATTTTTGAGACTTCCTAAAGAAAACAATTTTTCAATACTAAAAAAAATAGAAAGTAATTGTGTTTCTGGAGAAGTGCTTGGGAGGTAGTTTTCCAAAGCCCCTGCATGTCTAACAATGTGTTTATTTTGCTCTCACATTTGAGCGATGATTTGGTTGAATACAAGGCTCTACATTTAAAGTGAGTTTCACTGAGAACATTGAAGCATCCCTTCATTATCTCCTCGCTGGAAGGTTGCTGATGAGAACCCTGAGCCCCATCTGATCCTCAGCATCAGCGTGCTTTCTCCCCCGCCCCTCTCGTGGACTTCAGAATCTTCTCATTATCCATCTTTTCCTTTTCCTTCCTGAAATTTCTTGAGGATGTATCTAGAGGCAGATGTTTTTACTCATCACATTGGTTCTCGCTGGACTCTCTCATTGTGGAGAAGGAGGTCACTCTTCAGCTCCAGCAAACATCACCATCATTTCCTGGCTAACGCCTCCCTCCAGTTTCTCTTTTCCTGCCTGCAACGCTCTCTAAGTGGACAAGGATCTTCTCGAGTTGATCACTGACGTCTCAGCTTTTCTGTTTCCCTTTTCGCGTCACAGTGGGCTTCCTTTGTTTCGGCTTCCAGCCTAGGAGACACACACTATACAGACATCTTCTTTCAGCCCTTCTATTACATTTCAGTTATTTATCCTATCTTTTGGCAGCTGCACTTTAAATTTCCATGACCTGTCCTTTCTCCAGGCAGCCCATTTCTTAGCAACCTGATCCTATTTTACGGGTGTGATTTCTGCTCGCCTCTCTGAGGACACTCAGTTGAGGGTTTCTTGGCTCACCACGCTCTCATTCCTCCCTGGCTCTCCCCACTTCTCCACCCATGGTAGGCGGTTGTCCTATTTGTTCAGCGAGGTCTCACTCTCAAGGTGCTGATTTCTGCCCATGTCTTTGAAGGCCCAGGGTGACTGCTGTTTCCCAATCTCCCCGTCAAGAGCCTGGCTGGGCTCTCGGGGCAGACGCAGTGCCCAGCAGACTGCCCTCCCTCCAGGGCAGCGCCTCAGAAAGTCTGGCCCGAGGACCCATGTCCTCCCATGCACCAGTCCCTGACAAGCAAGATAAGAATAAAAATCAAACTGAGTACTGGGAAATCTTTACAGCATTTTAACACTTCTGCAATGACCAAGCATGATCAGCGGGCCTGTATCTTGAGCATCTTTAAATCCATTTTCTAAATTCATTATTGTTGTATTACAGAAAGGTATCAGTTTGTAACAGATCAGAAACTTTTTTAAGGTTTGGGGGTGAGATAGTTTACTGCAAATAGTTCAGAAGGCACTGCCCTAGGGGGCCTTCCCAGGTGGTGCTAAAGAACCCTCCTGCCAGTGCAGGAGACATAAGAGACACGGGTTCGATCCCTGGGTCGGGAAGATACGCTGCAGGGGGGCGTGGCCACCCTCTCCAGTAATCTTGCCTGGGAAATCCCCTGGACAGAGGAGCCTGGTGGACTGCAGTCCATAGGATCACACAGAGTCTGACACGCCTGAAGCAACTTGGCACGCACTCGTGCAGGGGCCCAGGCAGGGAGATGTCTACACAGGCTGCCCCTCTGATACATGTCCCACGGGGAGGGGTCTCTTTGGGCCGCTGCCCCCATTCCAAGAACCCTTGACCCTCTGAGCAAGTTTCCTTAGACATACTCCTCTGGCTTCACCTGGGGGAGAAGCTAAAGGTGCACAGTGGGAGGTCAGAGGCGGGAGTCAGAAGGGAACTCTACATTCAGCAGTTCCATCCAACGTCACGCAGTGTCTGCGCCTCCATCCACCCTGCCCTACCCTCAAGCCTGCCAGATCTGAAGGGGTCCCGTGAAAGGACCACTCCCATCTTCGCCGCCTCCTTCTCCCCTGCACACTCCGAGCTGGGGCTTCTGCTCACCTGCCTTCTATCCACCAGTCCTGGCATCTCTATAAGCGCATCACCTGTGGTTCTTTGCTGCCATTCCGGCAGGTTTCCAAAAGAGGAAGTGAGTGTTTGCATTTAGTTCATAGTCTTGAACCAGAGTCCTCTAAAGACATTTGAATTACCTTTGTCCTGGGGTCATAGAGGAATCAGGTTTTTAAATGGCATGCCTGGGCAGGAGGGAACTTTCTGGGTGATGCTAGTGGTCAACCTTAACCTACGCTGTCCCACAAAAAAGGAACGTAATATTTTAAATTCCTAGTAGCAACATTAAAAAAGAAATGTGAAACTCATTTTTATAATGTATTTTTATTAAACTCAACTTATCCAGAATATTATCATTTCAACATGCAATCAGTATCGAAATTAGGAGTGAGATGTTTGGCATTCTTTTTCACACACCATGTCTTCAAAGCCTGGTGCAGTCTTTACACTTACAGTACCTCAGTTTTCCTGGAAAATAGTTCGCATATATTTAGCTTTTGTAAAATTTGCAGTTGGAAAAGTAGATGAGTATTCTGAAGTTGCTCCCAACATACTTACAAGTTTTCCAGTGACAGAATCAAGTATCTGTTTTTCAGATTTTAATTAAAAGCCAATGGAACTTAAAATGTGGTTCCTGATCCACAGCAGCCGCACGTCGAGCATTCAGCAGCCCAGCGGGGGTGGTGGCTGCAGTGCCAGACCACACAGTTCTGTATCTTCACGGGGTCACACGGCGTATGCTGCTGCTTCGTATAGTCATGGGACCCCACAGACTGTAGCCCGCCAGGCTCCTCTGTCCATGGGATTCTCCAGGCAAGAACACTGGAGTGGGTTGCCATGCCCTCCTCCAGGGCATCTTCCTGACCCAGGGATCGAAGCCGGGGTCTCCTGCATTGCAGGCAGATTCTTCACAGCTGGGCCACCAGGGAAACCCTGCATGGCGCATACGTTCGTCAAAACTCATCGCACGACATTGTTAAACCTGTACGTAACCTGTATCTAAAACTCTCTGCTTAATGATA